AAGGCACAGAAGAAGAAAAGAGAGAAGAATTTATGGAACTAACAAGAGAAATCTTGTTAGAAGTACTCGTAATAACCAAACATAAGCTGATTGAAGAAGCAGATGGAGGGTTTCAAGTTTATATTAGATATACAACAAGCAACAAGTTGCGAAGAGAAGTCCATACAAAATTTACTAAGGAATTATCAGAATACTAATGACACAAATGACAAGAGACATAAGACTGCACTATTACTGGAAAGACACAGGTTGATATATGAAAACTTATAAAAATTAAACCAAACAGTTAAATTTAGCGCATTATGTAAAAAATGAAGTGATAATGGATATATTAAATAAATGATTGATAATGATAATAATGTATAGATATATATTGGTTTGATAAGAGAAAATTTGATATAAATTCCAAATGGTAATTATGAAAGGAGGTTTAGAAACTCTGTTATTAAATATAACCAATTTTTATTTAGAACATGTTATAGAGATGTAATGTTATTGGATGATATTGGGAAGAGCTAATGTCATTATGTGATTTTGTTTTAAATCAGGAATATTTTAGATAAAAGGACGTAAAAACAATTACATTGTTGAAGGTTGAGGTAGCATTGAAAGTAATATATATAAATATATTTGATGTAAAATATATGATTTGACATGAATTGTAGGGGATGACTGTGGAAGGGATACACAGGAAGCTTTTGTAACCAATTGACACACTTTCTGCAATTTGTAATGGAAAATGGTTTTGGTTTTTTTGTGTGTTTTGTCTGTTTGTGTTTATTCAAAAATAAACAAAAATTATTAAAAAAGATTAAATAAGTTCTTCTTTCCTTGGAAAGAAGTCTTCTGTTCCATTCTAAAATTTTAATAAAGATTTTTTTTAAAAAAATAGACACTAATTCATGCTGTACAATTTTCACCAAACACAAGAAAGATCAGTCTGGAATTGAAAATTACCCCCTGTAAGGCAGGTGACATGACGTCACAAAGATCAGTTTCCTTTGTTTAGATAGTAACTTCATGATAACATCACAATGGCCATCATATCTTTAACTGACAGGCACCATCAGGCAAAGGGGTCAGACTCTCCTCTTCAGATGAGAAACATCAACCTTGTATTATACTTAATTGTCACTGAAGTAAATAAGAGGAGAAATATGGAATCTCTCACATGTACTTCCTTTATAATCAGGCAAATGTAGTAGGCCTTACCTTCATATTTTTTTCCAATGGAAGGTGGTATATATACAAGCTTATCTCTGTCCAGTACAGAAGTGTGCATTTGAGAGTGGGAGATGGAAACAAATTCTTTGTGAATCTAAGGGTCTACTAGAAGATTATAAAGGCATGTTTTAAAAGAGATATTATGTCTTTAATCCAGTTATTATGCAATGAGTTTTCCTGATTGCAGATTGAATTTGGTATTTTTAGTGTCAATATTTTTTACTTGCTGGGTTTTT